GCCGTGGACAGACACACACACACACACACACACACACACACACACACACACACACACACACACACACACACACACACACACACACTGTGAAAATAACACTGATCTGAGTCTGCTTTTGAATACGCACACAGTTGTAACTGACCTCAGGTCAGCGGGAAGCTTGTTCCAATGACGACAGTAATGTCAGCACCCTCAGCACTCTTCATGGTGAATTCACTTCCAGTCATTCTGTGCTGAAATGGAAGTTATAGTGATGTCAGTACTGGGTAATGTGTATGTAAGGACTGGCTGCTGCATTCTGAACATGCTGAAGTCTTCCTACTCAGGATTTGGATAGTCTTGCCAATTTAATGTATTAAATTCTTTTATAAATGCAAATGTTAATACTGCTAACAATACTCCAGTGTTAAACCACACTTCTGCAGCAGTGTAATATAAAGAGCCTTGGATATTAGTAAATATATCCTTTGAATTAAGGAGACGGGCATCAGCCACAATATTTAATTTTGAGTTATTAATTTATTGTTTCAAAAATTTTTGCTTTCAGTGATAAATGCAGGAACACACGTCAGATCACATATATGATATAGTAGAGTCTGTGAGGGACTAAAATGTGTAAAATTCCTATAGTGTATTGAATTTTGCAGCAGAAATAGCGACTCAGTCTTATATTGTCTAATTTTAGTGAACGTGTGAACTATAGCCTCAGTGTCCTGTTTTTTACTGACAGGCTTGGACCCGGTGTGGTCTTCTGCTGCTGTAGTCCTTCTGGTTCGATGAGCTGTGTGTTCATAGTTCTTCTGCATACCTTGGTTATAAAGATGGGTTGTTTGAGTCACTGTTTCCTTCTTATCAGCTCAAAGCATGTTGATCATGTTTAAATGTAGTGACCTGCTGCTATGTGACTGGCTGTTTAGATATTTGAGTTAATGAACAGCTGAATAGGAGCCCATTGAGTGTTTGTATCGCTCTTGATCTTTCAATGTGTAGTCTATCACTGACTAAATGATTTTTCAGAAAGGACAGCAAGGAAATGTGTCAATTTTAAATGTTTATATCAGAGAATATTTTTCCGTGTTTTTCCTTAAATGGTTTAAGTTCTGTTTGCTGACTCTCTTCCATTAGACCATAGGTGTCAAACTCTGGCCCGTGGGCCAAATTTAGCCCGCAGCCTAATTACATTTGGCCCGCGAAGCCATACCAAATTACTATTAGAGCTGGCCTACTGGTATTATACAGCTAATATATATATTGTTTGGTATTAAGCTTTGCTTGTTCCATATTCCGTTTTTCAGCAAAACGTAAATGAGTCCATAAGAAAAGATTCATTCTTATATCTGGAGGAATAAATATATTTCAGTAAATATTAACGTTAGCCCACGACTTTTTTTCAGTTTTGAATTTTGGCCCACTGTGTATTTGAGTTTGACACCCCTGCATTAGACCCTGACTTAGTCTTCCAAAATCTAAGCTCTAAGTTTGTGAAATTAGTATTGTTATTATAATATTTTGTATTTAACAGGATGAACACTAGTTTAATGTCCAATAAACTTGCATAGCCAGAGACTACAGAGACTGCAGCGTGTTGTGCGCTCTGCTGAGAAGGTGATTGGCTGCAGACTCCCATCTCTGCAGGACCTGTACACCTCCAGGACACTGGGGCGTGCAGGTCGGATCGCAGCTGACCCTTCTCACCCTGGACACAGTCTGTTTGACCTGCTCCCCTCAGGCAGGAGGCTCCGGTCCATTCGCACCAGAACCTCTCGCCATAAGAACAGTTTCTTCCCCTCTGCTGTTGGACTCATGAACAATAACCATATGACTGTTCCCAGCACTAACACATGACCCTACACTGTGTTCACTGTATCATTCCATGTTTGGCACTGATCACCACCTGCACTCATGTATATATCTATCTACTTAGCACTTTTAATTCTTATTTAAAAGCGTTATATGACAGTATGTTTGCACTAAGTACCGCAGCAATTTCCTAATGTTGTAAACCTGCTCAACATTTGGCAATAAAACCCTTTCTGATTCTGATTCAGAAAAGCCTATATGGCACCAACAAACATACCATGTTTAAAATCACTTTTCTTCCACATTCTGATGCTCACTTTGAACTTCAGCAGGTCGCTTTGACCAGATCTACAAGTTTTAAATGTAGATATGCAGTTTAATTCAATCTAATTGCTGCCGTGTGTTTGGTTCATTAGTTACTAGCAATAATACACCGTTGAGCTGTGTACCTAATAATGTGGCCACTGAATATATTTCTCTTTCTCACACTCTGTAGCCTACCAGTGACTAAACACCAAATACTCTAAAATATTCAGCTTATGGTGATTTTTCAGAAAGTAAGAAGAGAATAGTTTTGCTCACATTTTTTGAAATCCTCCAAGTTTGTAAAATTAAATATGAAGATAAATCTTCAGGAAACATCTCGTATATAAATGTATCTAACTGTAATAAAAGCCAGATAACTGAGATAATACAACAGACTTATGTTTATTGTAAATCTGCTTAATCTGATCAATGATTTTCACATACAGAAACTATTGTGATTAACACTTAAACAGTGGACTGGAAACATTACATCCTGCTGTTGTAACACTTGGAATACTCGACTTGGAAATATATATGAGTGAGAGTCTCTTATAAACACTGAAACTGTGATTTTAGAACTACTTTTAATGGGACCCGTTTGTCTTGTGATCTATACGACATACGGCCCCCCCCCCCCCCTTCCCCAGCTGACACAGACACAGGAAATGTTAAGACACATAAACTTCCGTTAGAAACTTTATTGTTTGTATTTAGTGCAGTTAACATGAATTTGTCATGACAGAATCCATAACACAGTGGTTTGTGTGACTTAAACACAAACTTTAACACAGAATGGTTAATGAACACAGAAGGTGCAATCTGGAGGAATGTTTTTTTTCTTCAAAATAAAAGCACTAATAAATTAAAAAAATATATACAAGATTGGTCGATATCATTAAAATTAAATAACATGCATGGGCTTCCTGGTGTATGAATCATGTTAAATTGTCCTCAGCCTCCTCTCAGACGTAAAGTCAACTCGATGGTGCTGTGGTTTCTGACGTTGTAGTCCTCCAGTTTGCCACCCTGCATCTCCCGGCCTTGGTGAATGAGCCTCTGCTGGCTCGCTGGCACCCCCTCTCTTTTCTCGACTCTGTTCTTGAAGTTGCTCACAGTCTCGTCGAGCCTGATGTCGTAGGTGCTCGTTTGTCCCTTTTCATTTCTGAGGAACACCTGGGTCGGAGGAGGCTCGGTGACCAGCAGGGACACCTGGGAGCCGTGCTGTAAGCCGTAGTAGCTGATGGGTTTGGAGTCGTCGTTGAGATGGGTCTTCTGGCCGTTTATGAAAACCAGCCTCTGCCTCTGGGGTCGACTCCCAGCATGCTCTGGATTTTTATTTTCAGAGAGCCAACCGTGTCCTGTGGGTTCACCCTCACGGTGTGGGACCCACCCACCATAGTGATAGTTATATCCATGTTGGCTAGTCTGAAAGAATACAAAAATAGTTCCTTATAATACAAACGCTCAGGAAATAAAAGACTTTTCAGTTATTTCTCACAGGCTTGCTCAGTTTCCTACCTTGCGATGGCTTATTGAGGCAAAACAAACTTCTCCGGAAACTTGAAGTCTTCAGTCGTGCTCAGGTAAACAATGATGCTCACACAACAGCTGAGCGGAAAGCTTCAGCTGAGCTCTTTATATACTCTCCCGCTCAGCTGATCAGCGTCCGCCCACTCACTTAAGATTCGTTTTCCATCTAACAGGCTTTATAAACTGTTATAAGTTTCGGTTTCTATTCTCCAGTGCTGACTAATGGCTTACAGCATTACAGGTGTATTGATCAACACACCCCGTGACGCGTTTATGAACATATAACCTAACAGGTTTATCAGCCAGGTAGGGGAAACACCGCTGGAAAACATCCACTGATACAAATCACAGGGAAAAGCTGCTCTCTTTTTAGCTACCTGTACTTTTTTGGGAGTGTGGATTGTATGGAATCAAAACAGAAAGGAAAATAAGCCATTATGCACTGATTAATATTGTTACAATAGATAGAGATCATCGTGTAAATCATAAATCAGGTGTGATAGAAGAAATACTTTAAATAAAGTAAAACACCTGGAGGCAAACTCCTGTTCTAGATGAGAATCAAAGTACTTGACGCATTAAAATGTCTCATGTGACTGTTATATACACTCACTCTCCAATTTATTGGGTACCCCTTGTTAGTTCCTGGTTGTACCCCTTTTGGCTTCAGAGCTGCCTTTGTAGTTCTTTGTAGCACAGACTCAAGGTTTTGGAAACACGCCGCAGAAATTTATAGTTAATGCAGTTTTGCTGGATGATTGCCTCAATGAGTAGTTGAAAAGGCATACCTAATTAAATGGCCAGTGAGAGTATGTATATTGCTCTTTCAAAAGCAGGGGTATCAAACATGTGGCCAAAGGGTCAGGACCACCCAGCAGGTGGTTCAGTTTGGTCCACTGAATGGCTTTGCATACAGGTTATTATACATTAGGTTCACTGGTGTGGCCCAGATGAGAGGAAACTGGGCTTTATGTGGCCCATGAGCCAAATTATATTTAACACTAATGACCTAGAATAAAAATCATGACAGCTTTAATCACAGGGAGAAGAAACACACAACAGTTTCTAAACAGTTACAAAAAAGTTTGAATACATGCAAATCTTAATATGTAAAGTATTTAGAACTTCCTAGTAAATGTACTGGAATTAAGAATTAATTACACACAAAACAAAAATATTCAACTACAAGAATCTCAAACTGTACTTAAGCACAGTTCATTTTATTCACTGCAGATCAAAATAATGTACTACCTTTGACCTCAGTGTCCTCATAGAGGCTGTAAATAAACCGTCCACTCACTATTTCCATAAAACGATACTGAAACTAAACAAAACATGGGCGGCAAATGAAAGTGAGAAACACAACTTGTACAAGTTTTTTTATTTTCCTGTTGCAGAAAAAATGTGAAAACACACACATCACACCGTGTTTATGACTGTAGCTATGAAGGCAAGCTGGCCTCAACTTCATACACATCAAAACTCTGAGTTTTTCAGCATGGCAGTCCTCTCCTCCCCCTTAGGTAGAGGAATATTTCCTGTGGTAAGAAAACAAGCAATAGTTAAAGACCCCTGCAGGTACACAATGAATAACATAACATATTGGGTAATTTTATTAATTTCTCTACTCATTAATCCAGTCATACCATTTTTAAATCAACACTAATTGACAGAACCACAAGAAACTTGGGTTTTTATTACCTGGTGGTGCCACAAAATATTCTTCAACTGTGCTTTTTGAGAGCTGAAGCAGTTTTTCAGCACAGTCACCCTCCATCACAGCATCCTCCCTCAGGTACAAAACCCTGATTGTGCAGGGATAAAACCCAATCTTTAATCAGCATTGAAGCTAATACGTGCAAGTGAACACAGCCATTAATTTATTGACAGGTGCATACCTGACATCAACCCCAGCCATACCTGTCCTCCAAAACTGAATCCATCGGTTCAACCCCTGTTGTGTCAACGACATGAAGCTGGTCTGCAAACCGTATGGCTTTTTCCAAACAGGCCAGTCCCTGTTTGGTGCGAAAATCCACCAAAGCCAGTCGCTCCAGTTTGTCCACCAGGTCAGCAGGAATATGGGCAGGCTGTTAGATAAATGGTGTATTGCTTAGAAATGTATGGGTGACAGCTTACTTCAACCATCACTAAACTATGCCCAGTACTCTACATAATCATTGAATAAAGTCCTCAATCATTTATTCTCAGCCAACTTTATAATGACCAAATTTTTTTCATCAAGTTATTTTCCTCTTTGAAGAGTTTAGCTGTCTGTCACTGCTACACAGCTTTATCATATCCAAGTAGAGCTGGGCGATATGAGATTTTTTCATATCACGATATGTTTTTTTCATTTCAGGCGATAACGATATCTATCACGATATAAGCCAAATAACTATATTTGTAAGATTTAAATGTGCCGTTGCTCACAAGTAAAATGTGAAATAATCAGCAGCTTGTTTTGATTTAAATATTTATTTCTCATAATAAGTTCAACAGGGTAGATGTACTTAAGGAACATGAGACTTTTTCAGATAAATAAAGGCAAATATTGCAAACTACACAAAAGGCAGCCGCTAAAGCGTTTAAGTTTCAAAATAGAACAAACAAAACAGACTAAATTGTCAATTCCACTTAGAAACAAAATATTAATTCTAAAAATAAATCTTAGTTTGTTTTACAGAAGAACAGACAAAACTGACTAACTTTTGTCAATATCAAATAAACTGAGAACTAAAAGGAAATTCTCAATCTCTCCTTGTTGTATAGCTGAGCTTTTCAAACAGTTTTAACAGTTACTTTAGTCTGACAAAAGCCGAATGACGAATTAGCGCTTCCAGTCAGAGACTGAGGCTACGTCCACACGTACACGGGTATTTTTGAAAACGGAGATTTTCCGTTTTCGTTTTAAAAAAGAATCCCGTCCACACATAAAGGCAGAAATGAAGGAAAACGCTGCTATGAACATTCCAAAGCAGCAGGTGGCGCTAGATTCCTAACCGTGCAGAAATGTTGGCCAATCAGAAGTCTAGAAGCCTCGGTGGGAAAAAGTAAACAAAGCTGGGGCATAGAAGCAGAACCGAGTCGTATGTGTGGACGGACAGTAACTGTGTGTATGTGTAAGCATTTAAACACTGCAGAGAGTAGAATTAACAGTAACAGTATTGTAGAAATTCATTTCACCGAAACAATAACGTGGCGCACAGTGTGACGCATGCACCAGTTTATTGTATTTCCAGACTTGTTTTCGGCACAATTTACAGTGCACGCTACTCTGTTTTTTGTCAGACTTGAAATAGCCGAAATACCTTCACACTACGGAACTTCTATGGCTCTTCCGTTCGACAATCTCTCCGGCATTGGAACCATCATCTGTTTTCTCTTCGGTCACGCTCGGTTGATTTTTCTAGTCGGCACACTCATTTCCTCCATTACGCGCTGGCTCCATTACCCGCTGGCTGCTTCCCAAACAAACACACGTGCGGCTTGGCACTTGTGCTGTACGTAACAAGTCACACGACGTGACGCTGCGGCTGTGATTGGTTCGGCTCTGCGCTACTGAATTTGGCTGACTTTTTTTTTTTTTTTTTAAGATGACAAGAGCGGCGAGGTCTATCGCGATAGCTTAATTTCTCTATCGAGTAAAAGTTATATCGCGATACATATCGTTATCGTTCTATCGCCCAGCTCTATATCCAAGCTAATTTTGTATGACATTGTTTTGATGTCATACAAAACCCTAAAGCCTCATGGCAACAAATAACTCACTGAAAAAAAAAAAATTGTGGGATCTGCCCACTATCAACTAAACTGACATTAGGAAGGTGTTCAATGGCCAGTAATGGCCTAAAGATGAATGACTGAAATCTGTCAGCTAAATATCTAACATCTACTGTGGATTTCCAGACATTCAGTCATGACTGTACTACAGTGGGGCAAAAAAGTATTTAGTCAGCCACCGATTGTGCAAGTTCCCCCACTTAAAATGATGACAGAGGTCAGTAATTTGCACCAGAGGTACACTTCAACTGTGAGAGACAGAATGTGAAAAAAAAATCCATGAATTCACATGGTAGGATTTGTAAAGAATTTATTCGTAAATCAGGGTGGAAAATAAGTATTTGGTCACCTCAAACAAGGAAAATCTCTGGCTCTCACAGGCCTGTAACGTCTTCTGTAAGAAGCTTTTCTGTCCCCCACTTGTTACCTGTATGAATGACACCTGTTTGAACTCATCATCTGTATAAAAGACACCTGTCCACAGCCTCAAACAGTCAGACTCCAAACTCCGCCATGGCCAAGACCAAAGAGCTTTCGAAGGACACCAGGAAAAGTATTGTAGACCTGCACCAGACTGGGAAGAGTGAATCTACAATAGGCAAGCAGCTTGGTGTGAAAAAAATCAACTGTGGGAGCAATCATCAGAAAATGGAAGACATACAAGACCACTGATAATCTCCCTCGATCTGGGGCTCCACGCAAGATCTCATCCCGTGGGGTCAAAATGATCATGAGAACGGTGAGCAAAGATCCCAGAACCACACGGGGGGACCTGGTGAATGACCTGCAGAGAGCTGGGACCAAAGTAACAAAGGTCACCATCAGTAACACACTACAACGGCAGGGAATCAAATCCCGCAGTGCCAGACGTGTTCCGCTGCTGAAGCCAGTGCATGTCCAGGCCCGTCTGAAGTTTGCCAGAGAGCACATGGATGATACAGCAGAGGATTGGGAGAATGTCATGTGGTCAGATGAAACCAAAGTAGAACTTTTTGGTATAAACTCAACTCGTCGTGTTTGGAGGAAGAAGAATACTGAGTTGCATCCCAAGAACACCATACCTACTGTGAAGCATGGGGGTGGAAACATCATGCTATGGGGCTGTTTTTCTGCCAAGGGGACAGGACGACTGATCCGTGTTAAGGACAGAATGAATGGGGCCATGTATCGTGAGATTTTGAGCCAAAACCTCCTTCCATCAGTGAGAACTTTGAAGATGAAACGAGGCTGGGTCTTCCAACATGACAATGATCCAAAACACACCGCCCGGGCAACAAAGGAGTGGCTCCGTAAGAAGCATTTGAAAGTCCTGGAGTGGCCTAGCCAGTCTCCAGACCTCAACTCCATAGAAAATCTGTGGCGGGAGTTGAAAGTCCATGTTGCTCGGCGACAGCCCCAAAACATCACTGCTCTCGAGAAGATCTGCATGGAGGAATGGGCCAAAATACCAGCTACTGTGTGTGCAAACCTGGTAAAGACCTATAGTAAACGTTTGACCTCTGTTATTGCCAACAAAGGTTATGTTACAAAGTATTGAGTTGTATTTTTGTTATTGACCAAATACTTATTTTCCACCCTGATTTACGAATAAATTCTTTACAAATCCTACCATGTGGATTCATGGATTTTTTTTTTTTTTCACATTCTGTCTCTCACAGTTGAAGTGTACCTCTGGTGCAAATTACTGACCTCTGTCATCATTTTAGGTGGGGGAACTTGCACAATCGCTGGCTGACTAAATACTTTTTTGCCCCACTGTATGCTGTGCTGTGCTGTGTTAAGGGGATTACCGGAGGAAGCTGTTCCTCTGGTACTGGTTCCCATGTTGCCACCTTTGGTATCTGTAGAAGAGACAACCTGGTAACAAGATTGAGCCACTGTTCAATAGAAGATGCTGCTATATTGGATATAGTGAGGGTAGCAAAAACTAAGTATATTTACTCAAATTCTGTAGTAAAGTAGTTTCTGAGATAACTGTACTTTATACCCCCACTTTCAGGGGTAAATGTTACATTTTTAATATTTATGTTGACATCTCTAGTTATTAGTTACTTTTAGTATGAAAAGGCAAGGCAGACCCTGTGACCCTCCTCATATGAAGACACTACATTTAGAATTTTCTGTGTGTAAATGAGAGGGAGACAGGTGTACCAGTGAAGCTGCAAGAAGCAGAGGTAGTGAAGGTGGATGTGTTTAAACACCTGGGGTCAACCAAAACAACGGACAGCGCACAAGTGGCAGGTGAAGAAGAGAGTGCAGGCCGGGTGAAGTGGGTGGAGACGAGTGTCAGGGGTAATTTGTGACAGGACAGCAGCAAGAGTGAAAGGGAAGCTGCTGTGATGTATGGTTTGTAGACGTTGGCACTGACAAAAAGTCAGGAGCTCAAGCTGGAGGTAGCAGAGTAGATGATGTTAAGATTATGTTTGGACCAGGATGGGCAGGATTAGAAATGAGAACAGCTGAGGTTGAGCAGTTTGGAGACCAAGTCAGAGATGCAATTCTGAGATGGTTTGGACATGTACAGAGAAGAGATAGTGGATAAACTGGACACAGGACACAAAGGGTAAGACTACAGAGAAGGTTCACATATACACCGAAAGAGAACATACAGAGGTTTGGTGTGATAGAGGAGGATGCGAAGGATAAGGTGAGATGGAGGGAGATGAACTGCCTAAAGGGAGCAGCAGAAAGAAGAAGACAGTTCATTTTGATTAGTGGTGTTTTATACTTTGTCAAGCAATGTGGACTTTATTGTGTTATACTACAAAATATGCTCATTATCCCCATGTGAGGGGATAAAATACAAACAAACTGTAACTAACAACTTTCTGGTCCAACAGGAATTTTAGTTTATAGTTATCAGGTCCAACTAATCCCAAATAGCTAGGAGAAATTAAAATCACATCGCAAAGAAAAGATCTCTGGATCTAAAGAGCTTAAAATACTGTGCAACTTTCAAACTTTGTGACCTCTGACCTCTCATATTGACTGCGCCACCAAACAGCGGTAGCTTTCCTGCAGACTTCGCACATAAATGTTGAAATTATCAGATATATCGTCAAAAACCACGCTTAAGTTTTAATCGGCATGTCTCAATTAGAGGGGCTAACCCAGAGCCCTTCTCTAACACTTCACTTCAGCCACGTTTTAATGCTAATGCGTTGCACTTAATCAGGACTTTTACTTGTGACACATGTACTGTACCTTCTGGTTAAGTGGTTCAGAGCTGAGCAGACGCGTTGTATTTGCGCTGTGGCTCTGCGGCCAGCTGATTCTCTTGCTGTTTAGGATTGTTATTGAGTATCCATCATTGGGTAGCAGGCTAAATAACATCCGAGGGATTTTTACCGACACGCCACGGAATGTACGCGAAGCAGCGAGGCTAAACACGGACATTTTCAACACAGCTAGCTGCCAGTCAGCTATGTCTAAGATGTAGTAGAAAAATTAAGCATTTCACTTCTAGTCTACTTTCACTAGGAAGGTAAGCTCCAGGATAACCTAGCTTCACATGCTATAGCTAGCCAAGGACCTGCTGTAGCTAGCAGGAAAAACGAGAGGAAGCGAGAGTTTGAAATCTGAACGTACTTCCTTGTTGGCACCGCCACACTTATTTTCTTTAGTTTATAAGGAATGAGGGTTTTAAGCCTGTTACACGTATAACACAGCTTAATAGATGCAAGGCTTAAATTATAACAATTTTAAAATACGAAAACGTATTAGACCTCAGTATAATTTTGAGTTAGGTTGCGACAGCCGTGTATCTTCGCATCGAGCGCCCGGATAGCTCAGTCGGTAGAGCATCAGACTTTTAATCTGAGGGTCCAGGGTTCAAGTCCCTGTTCGGGCGTCAGTTTTTGTTTCCAGTTTTCAAAGTACTCAAAATACATAACGACCCTGCTGGCATAATAGCGGCGTTCTTTATCCTGTAAGGGGGCAAACGCGCTGAGAAGCTCGCTTTAAAAAATGAATGCAATGAAGCTGATTTCCACTAAGGTGTAATTCTTGACTTTAAAATCTGTATAGAGTCTCTTGACAAAATAAGTCACAATTTAGTCACCACCACAAATGTCACACCCTCAGGAAAAAAAAGAGCTCTTTCATTTGTAAAAACTTTCATGTGAAGTGAAAGTACACTTTCTTTCATTTTTAAGGGTTTTAGTATCAGGGAGTAATGAAAACTTAATTGAATCCTTAATAAGTTCTAAAGTTATCTAAGTCACAAGATGACATATTACACACTGATTCATTATTAGCCAATCAAATGCAAATCGGAAAGTGTGAGCACCTCTGTAAAAGAAGAAGCTTTGGCAGTTTGGAGCATTTAAGTGTGTTAACATAATACCAAGCAGCAAATGTTGATCTGGGAAATCAGTTAAATCAGTCTGGGAAGGGTTATAAAGCAGTTTGAAGTCAGTCATTCTATAGTGAGAAAGTTGTTGTCTTCACCAAGAGTCATCGTCCCAGCAAATTCAATGCAACTGTGCAATGTAACAAAAGGACTGAACATCTATCACTTGTTTGGAGGAGTTGAAGAAACCTCCAGAAGTCTTCTGGGTGCATTTAGTTTTTATTTTATTAAGTCCTGATACATAAAACAATTTAAGGGGTAATTTCTTTTTCACATGACTTCCTGAATCTTGATTTTTGTTTTCTTACTAATGAACAGAGCCCTGTTGGTATTTCTGCCTAATCAGCCCCCTTCACTTTGATTATATTTAGTAAAATGCACATTACAATTATGGAAAAATAATGATTCCATTTTATTTTTTATTATTAGAACATATACCATTTAATATATTGTATATATGACCTAAGTATAGAATTTGATTGTTTTACAATACACATTTAGAACTGGCCACAAAATAAAAATATCCGATTTACAAACAAAGCAGCATCCGAAAGAAAGAAATGGATGAATGAATAAATAAATACTTTGGCATAAATGTTACAATAAATTAAAACAGGCTTTCTGACAGCATTTAGCATTCACAAAGAAACACCAAGATTAAATGCAGCTCATCCCACCACACCCTTGAAACAACACTTGAAAGTTTTAGGCTTTAAATGATGAGTATACGTCTGTCGAATCTGCCAAAAAACAAAAAAATGCACTTTTAAAAATCTGCCATACGGTAACTTTCATTCTCAGCTCTCTGCTTAAACCATCCTCACACTGAATAATCATATGATCTCCGCTTTTCAGCTAAAATTAACATTTAAAACAGGCACCGGACAATACAGGACAACACAAGGAAAAAAAAATCAAGATGAGTAATCACAATTTAAAAGTTCACACTTGGTTCACTGGATAATGGAAAAAAAAAGAAGTTAATCAATCCAAGCTTGTTTCTTTACACGAATCTCCGCTAAGACATCAATTGGTAACATAAATGTCAGATTATGATTTTACAAGATAATTTATTTCCAATAATTCAAACACGTTTTCTTCTCCCGGTACACCACAGTTAACACACATAACAAATAAAGACATACTATTTGGCAGACGAGGCAGTTCAAGAACACTGGAAACACCGTTGGCTAAACCAATAACGTGTTAAAAGCTGAATTATCCTGAACACTGTGTGTGAAACGTAACTGGACTGGGTTACATTTTGGGCTCCAAGCCAGTGTCCTGAATCAGTCTGTAAAAATTACTTTTGCTTTAGGGTGTAAAGCATATTAAAAGTCTGCAGACATTCTTTCCTTCGTTAGAATAAGAGGATAACTGTATCTCTTTAATAGCTCTATCTCGTAGACGAAAAATAATCAATATAAACTATTATCACAATGTATTTTTCCCATAAATATAGTCTCTGGTTGAATTCAGTTCTGCTTTTTGGTTTGAAGTGTGCAGCTAAAACCATCTTTATCTGAAAATATTAAGTGCACTCGGACTAAAGTTGACACTTGAGGGATTTCTGAGAAAAAAAAGAAATATTTGGAAATTAAACAGCTTTACATTTGTTTTCACTTCAACGTACTGACAAATGTTAAGCGTAATATTCTCACACACCTGCTGACAACACAAACAACATCGAATAACATATAAGGATATAGTCAGTAAGGCTCATAGCAGCAAAATGATTGTAAAGGCTTCATGTATGTGTGAGAGCGTGCGTTCTTCTCTTGTGCTGCTACAGCCGGTCACACTTTGCTCGGAAGGAAAAGAAGACAAACAGCACAATCACTTGTTCTCTATCAGCATCTGCACCTTGCACACAAGATCTCTGGCCAGGGTCAAAATCTGCTTGATGTTGTGACGCTCCGCCATTTCTGAAAGGCACAAACAAACAACAGCTTGAACATTTTTACCCGTGCAAGATTGCACAGATCGTCTCTGTAACTGTCCGTATCCGTGATATTGTAACTTTTTGAAAACATGCTCAGAAAACTGTTTACACAGACTTTACACTCGCAGTCATCCATAACACACTCTGCATTTCATGCTCTAATTAAAAGTTTTTGTGGACATGACATTGTAAGTTCATGCTGGCAAGCAAATAATATCTCTGACTCATTTACATAATTGTATTCAGCTGCTCATAATTCAGTCTAAAGCTATTTGTACCTGAAAATGAGCCTCACTCCTCCTTAACCCTGGCTATATATTTTTTTTTTAAATTAAATTTTCACCTGAAAATATGTCAGCAACACCTACAAAACTACGAGGGCACGATGCCAGCCTTGCTCTCTGTGGATAAGACAAATCTGTGGGAGCGTTTTGAAATACAATATGAATCTTTAGTGAGCCAGAGTAGGAGTTGTAAATTATTTACTGTCAGTAAATAATGTTTTAAACCTCAAGAGGGAGCAATCCAGTCTCAAGATTCACTGTTTTAGCTGCAGAAGTTTATATTGAGCAGTGTTGCTCTGTTGTGGGACTTACTGCCCTTGCATGAATGTACATGGACAGTCTGAGGGCAGTGAAAGCCCAGCAGGCACAGAACAGAGCAGGCATCAAGGACAAAGCACTGATTAAGTCAAACATAATATGCAAAAGACAATCTCAGGTAGAGGAGGGCTGCAACAGTAACTGTAGGCAGTGTGCAACAATCTCAATAACAGTGCATATATTTGATTTGCCATTTGAATGTGTAAAAGGAGATATCAGCTGTGGCATCAGTTGATGTGTGCTGGCACTGGAATCAGCTGCTGTCACTGGGATTTTGGGCTGAGTGTAAGTTCATCGCCTGCCTGAATGTCCTGCTCCACAGAAATGGAGCAAAAACATGCTACAGCTATTTTAGTCAAAGCAGCAATCTGAGGCTCATTCACTGAATATCACGCTTGGCAACCCTCGAAAAATGATGCGTGGTTTCAAATACTGCCTGGTCCTGATACAGGGACCTGGAGGGGTGAAAAGGTTGAGTCTCACAAGAAACTCTCCTGTTAAAACATGAGCATGAGACAAACAGGTTTTTGAAAACTGGATGGGAGAGGCTGCAATATTACAACATCTAATCTATTGTATGAGTCAGACTGTTAAAATGGTGATCTCTATATTGTAGCTGCTTCTTCAGTGTCTTTAAGATACAGAGCTAAAATTAATCTGCTGTAGTATACAGGCTGAATAGTAATACAATAACAAATAGATTAACTTTAATAAGTAAAATATCAAACATAAGGAGCAGGGATAGCTCAGTAGGTAGAGTGGTAGCCCCATGATCGGAAGGTCGGGGGTTCGACTCCACTGAACGGCTACCCTGAGGTACCCCTGAGCAAGGTACCGTCCCTACACACTGCTCCCCGGGCGCTGCACTGGCAGCTGCCCACTGCTTCACTGGGTGAATGGGTTAAATGCAGAGGAACTATTTCCCTATGGGGACTAACACGCACACTTTTAAGGCTAGAGGGCCAGAATTGGCCCAGCAAAGACTTAAATTTGGTCGACTGGACGGTTCTGGAAAATGTGAAGGAAGGCATAAATTTTCTACTCCTTGATTTTCATGAAATGCAAGGTATGGCTATGGTACCAATTTGAAAATCCTACGATGCTTCGAGTTATTGAGTTCAGCGAGTTGGATGTCCAGACTGCAATGACTGCGTGCCCGACGGGCTGATGACAATAAAAACTTTATATTTCATAATTATAGGACAGGCTGGGAAATAAGCTACTGGAGGCTTTTCTGTAATTTTACACATTTATCATGTAGAAACACTAAATGTTGAAATTGGAGTTCTTTTTCATATATTAAGACATCTCAGGGATTAAATGTTTAATTTAATGTCTTTACACTGACAGAAATGGAAGTTTCACTGTCTGGAGGATAAAAAAAAAAAATCTATCTGCAGTATTAGAACAAGGCAAAACAGAGTAATGTAATCAGAGTAGCATAATGTTAATATAAAACCTCATTAAACCAGATAGTTACTAGATTAATGTTGGTTTTGAAACTTGTTCTTGTTTTATTGTGCCAAATAGTCTTGCACAGTAATGTATATGTGAACTTCAGCTTCAAGGCTTTACCGTTGAAGAACTTAATGATGTCAGTGAAGTCCATGTTATTCTCCAGGATGATGTCCCTGTACACCTCCACCAGCGCCAGTGCAATGAAGAGGACAAAGTGACTGGAAGAGACATGCTTTGCTGCCCAGATGGTTTCC